TTACTACCTTTCTGATCATTCTAGTCCACTTTGTTATAGTCTTATTGGCCCTCACTGTTTTATTTTGATGTATCTTCCCATTCAATGGCATAAAGCTTAGGTGATTCTCAATAATTATGTGTTTTTATTTACTCATATATATCTTTGTATCATGAAAATATTTCACATCTGTGTACTTTATATTTCCAATCACACAATATATTATCTTGAACGTTAAAAATGTTTTCTACTTTTTATTATTTCCTCAAACTATAACCCCTCACTTCTACCAAAATACTTGAAACTTGCTATATACATTACAGAAGGACTAAAGTAATCACCTTTCTTATATTGTTATAACACACACAAGGTAACAACTGGTATACTGAAGGAACAGAAAGGTACAAAAAAAAAAAAACCTCAAGTGCAACACTAATGTATGTTATATACACCAAGATATGTGCAAATTGCAAACTAGTCTAAATTCTCAGAATAAAATTTAAAAATATGAGTTTAAGTATCAAAAATCACATGATACTATGGTAGAAAAACCCTTACCCTAAATGGTAAGTTATTAAAGAATCTTTTTTCCCCTGGTTTTAAACACTGTTTCATATTCTACTGGAACCCAGAGAAAAGTAAAGCATCTCTTGCATGGCTTTTACAAGAACAGATTAGTGCTAAACCTAATTTTACACAAAAAGGTATCTTCCTCAAAAGTTTGGTATGCAATGTGTAGAAATTTACACATTAAATGTATGTGTGCACACTTCGATGGATTTATATCTAAGCTTGTTTTAGATGCATTGTGAGAGCTCATTATTTATAGGCATCCCAGAGATAATCTTTTTTAAAGCAATCCTTTGGAATAAGTGATTTATACGTTTTATGAATCCAAATTTTCATACACTAGATTTTCTTAAAGAAAATTACACCAAAAAAGAAAAAAAAAACCATTATTTACTCTTATATATTATGATCAAGACAGCTTAGCCCTTTTCCTTAATCCCCAAGCTTTAAAAAAATAGTTCCATTCCTAAACCAAGATTTTTTTTCATATAAACCTATGTCCTTGCAATGCCTACAGTTTTCAGTAACCTATACTTGGGAATTTTTAGTTAGGAAGATACCAGGACAATAAATGACTGTTTTATATCTTTAGCTTCATTTTAGCTTTCCTATATTCACACCCTAGAGGTTCCAGATTCTTATCCACAAAGTGATTATGGTTCAGGACTGAATCAGATTTGTAACAAATGTCCACTGGGATTCTTCCACCTATCATCGACGGGTAGAGCCGATATATGTCTTCTAGCTCATCGAATCCGTTCACCTTACCTCAGGGACTTCCCACAATGCTACGTGGTTAGAAGCCTTCTTTCACAAATGACGAAAATGAATGAAAAATGATTTCAGAATAGAAAAATGGAAACCCAAGTCATTATATAGTGTCTAAAGGCTACCCTGCATCTCCCACCTTAGTGCCCAAGCAAGCATTCTAACATATGTACAATAAGGGATATTCTTCTTTAAGGTTTTGAGTTCCATTTTCTCTAATTTTATCTGATTGCTGACATGCATCATTTATACTAACACTTCCATATATCCAGCCACACAATACAATAAAACTTCTAACAGCAATCTAGTTTGGAAACCATTATGATTTGTTTTATTTTTCCCAGAAAAAGATAAGGCACAAAGTTAATAAAATGAAATTTCTAGTAAGTATGGGTTTTTATAAATATTACCACATCAAAATGAAACTAACAGCAGTCATGCAATCATGCATAAATAAAATACAGGCTCTTACTGTTTTTCTTAAAAGCTAATTGAGCATGTCACTCTCTCCTTTTTTGCTATTGTCTTAAAATGTATTTCCCCTCAAAAAATAAAAATAAAAAGTGCCTCCAAAGAGGGAAAAGAAAAAATTACAAACTACAGTATTTTTTATGCTACAAGCTATACAAAAATCTGTCACCATCTATGTTACAATTCTAGTCATCAATAAGGTACTTTTTTTCAATGCACCACTCAAAAATCAATTATATCAACTCTTTTGTATAGAGAAGCAGCACACCTTTCAGGCAACTAGTATTAATGAGTAGACATGACTATAGAATCTCCATCTGTTTCTCTGACAAAGCTGTGGCTACTCTAGTCTCTCATTGAAATTCCATTAATCTGGTGTACCAAGGTCCAATGCGAAAATCAAAACTCCATCTAACCCTTTCTCAGTTCACAATAACCTACAAGTGAACTCTGCCTGTTAGCATGCAGCAAGTTATGATTTTGCTATCAATCAGGCAGTTGGCCAATGAAAAAAAAAAAAGGCAGGCTGGAAACAGTGTGTCTGGCAGGGTTTGAAGACTTTGTTTTTGTTTTCTGTTTTCATCCCCTTTCAATTTCTATAGGGTGTCTGGACCTTGTGAGATTATGCATTATTCTCCTTGGCTGTGATTTAATTGCTACCAGCAATCAAGTCGAAGCATCACTGAAGTGTGCTTGAATTTCATTAGAAGATATAACTTATGCTACTTTCCTACAGTACCTAATAAACCATAAAGAAACCAAAACACATATGGCTTGAGGGAATAACTGGAAAATTAGGTAGCCATTTGGGAACTGAGTGAACTTTTGAACCAGAGGAACAGAGAAAAAGAAATATTAAAGGAAAAGACAGACTTAGAATGCACACAAAGATGTGCAGGTTTGACCTTTTCAGTACCTTGAAAATTACATTAGCATTATGAAAAATACATATCATGTTTAGAGTTTATAATCCATCAAGGCTCAGATACTTTGTTAGTGCCTACCATAAGGTAAAAGTCAAAAGGACAAAACAACAATCTGATTTGACAAAAGGCCTTTTGGTGACCTGTGCTAATTTAGTTACACTTATTGTTAAATGCATTATCCTTTTATAATTAATATATCATTAGACTGAGGTCCCATAATGAAGGAAAATTTATTCAGCAAGGGAAAGAGAACACATACCAAATCTATGTTGAAGGGAGAGAGATTGATATGACTAGATGACTTTCAGAGTGGAAATTAAAAATCCAAGTGGTAGTTTTAAAATTAATTTATAATATTCTTAGAAGAAAATGTAAAACTATCATATATGGTATTATTTTATATACCCAAAATGAGTAATACTAAAACTTAAATTTTCAATCTGCTTAAGAATTGCTTATACCAACACTAATGAAAATGCACCTATATTTAACAAAAAACTTAATGCTATACATAAATATAAGTTATTAAATAATATTCAAATAGTGATAATGTAATCTTTTAACAATAAATCTTTTTCATGCTATTAATGTATTTCCTATATATTTGGTTATGAAAACAAACATGATAAATTATTTACTCATAAAGAAAATATGATAATTATGTAAATGCATTATAATTTAATAACAATTCACTTTTTCTAACAAAACACTGGCTCTCATAGATATTTAATTGTTGGATTCCTTAGATTACAATTTTTTAAAGAATGTAAATACTGCTCCCTTGTAATTCAAATTATTTATGCTATCTTTTTAAAACTCTGAGCCTATATACTCTATGAACATTTTGTGTGTGTGCATGTATATTCTCCTGAGTACAAATATTCTGTCTGTGTATATGTATACCCACATACTCATTTCTATCTACCAACACTTAACAGAAAAGCAAAACAAATCATTGTAATGTGTCTGAAAAACAGCTCAACTCAAACAATAATTCACTGTTTTGCCTGAAAATATTATTTATCAATTATAAAACATTTTCTAGTAGAAATGCTTTTGAAGACCAGATTAGGAAGGGTAATGCTCTGTTTCAGATAAGAAGTGTAACTGAAGAGAAATGTGCATCTTTTTAAAAAATAGGGAATATGAGAGAAAGAAATCTCTTCCTTTAAAAATAGAAATTAAATGTTTGCCAAAATGTAAAATTCAACATAAAATGGATATGATTATTATTGCTACACATTGTACAAAGTTCTGAATATAAAAAAAAAGATTGTGTTCTGAATCAGTGGTTAGAATGTTTATCACTTATGCGTGTACTTGACTTATCCCTGTTCTGCAATAGACATAATTTTATACCTCATAAAAGCAATTTATGTTTCCAAAGGGAATAATCTGGATAACATAAAGTGTGGAGTGCTCTGTTGCAGGAAGCATATTTTCATTCAGCAATTGTATTTAGAGATGGAACTGCACAGTTTGATCATCATACAGTGGCAGAAGGCATTATTCATTTCTGTGTCTCCGTGAAACTTTGAGTGCCACGAATTAATATGCATGGCTAATTTATCGATACACATTCTTAATTTATAACTATCTATCACCCTTATAAGGTCTCTAGAATGCAGATGCACTCAACTGGTTATAACAGAGAAAGCACATGCTACACTAAAAGCAAGTTTCATAACTTTGGCGAGTTTTTAAAAATTACAAAGAGATAATCGACTTTATTACCCATTCAATTAATACAAAACATTATAATACTACTGTATAATGTGGGGTATCTTTAGGTGACAATCAGGAAAATGAGAATGTGTATTAAAAGAAGCATCTGATGAAAACCTGTCTTAATGTGAGAAGGCAATGTAAGAATAATTAATTTAATATTTTATGAACTCATTTTATATGAAGTTTTCAAAAAAAAGATCAAAAATCTTTTTCATTATTTATAAAATAAATAATACAAGAAGCCATTCAGCAGCACAATAAAATTAAGCAAGAATCTGATAATATTAAATTAACCAACAAACTAACTAATAATATTCATACAATGATGTAAACACTCTCTTAAAAATTCTAGTCAAGAAATTTCCTAGAAAAAGAAGGAACTACATACTTAAGAAAACCACTAGAGAGAGCTCTTCTGTTCCTTAAAGTGTTCTGGTAAAGGTAAGTTAACTGAAGCCTCTGCGTTTACTGCTTTCTGACAAGACCACCACTTCCATGCACTGCATTGTCTTGTGTTGGAATATCTAGAGGTATATTTGATGGCAAAATATCACATACCTTCAGAGTGGGCTTCATCATCTTTATCATATCTTTCTGAGGCTAATGACACAGTATCTGGAGGACCAGCAAAAGGGTCATCATATTCTTCCCCATCTTCTGCATCACCTATAGAAGAATCAAAGAAAAGCCTTTTATAGATTAGTCATCTTTTAAAAATGTTACTTTGTCAAGAGAGGTAAATTTTACTATTAAACCTAGTCACTGTCATGGAAAAACAGAGTAAAAACAGGTCCTATTTTAATGTATATCTACCGTAACTTAAATAAAATAAGAGTTTCTGGAAGTCAGTGGACAACTGCTTATTTCTGATACAAAAGGATACAAGTTCCAAAATTATGATGGTCTCTACAAAGATGAATACAAAAAAAGTAGAAGCAGGGTAAAACAGAGTGTGTATCCAAAACAAACAAAAAAAGAAACAGAACCAAAATAATGATAACAAATAACACACAAAAAATTGGAAAGCACAACAGAGAAAATAATTCAAGTTAATTCCATTTACCTACTCAATTATTTGAAAATTTATGATGAGAAATTGATAATTCAAAGCCATATGCACATTTTATGTTTTCATGAAAAATCACAGGGTTACATTAGAGTAGATTAAAAATACTCAGCTGCATTTTCAAGAGCAGGAATCCTTTATGGGAAAAACTACTTTAAAACTCATATAACCCTTTTAAGTTCAAAGTGATTTACAACTTGACACCTTCAATTTTCATTCAGTAATATGTTACCATTTTTTTTTAATCTTCTAGCCAGTTTTTCATGATTTCCAAATCCTAGGTTGGTTGGTTGGTTCGTTTGAAGTCATTGAATCCCCACAATAAAATCTTGTGGTTTGGGGTTTTTCCACATACCCATTTAGAATAATTAAAAAAAAAAAAAAAGAGTGAATCAGGTATTTGCTAGCTTGGTTAAATATAAGCACTCATTTTCCAACCATATTCAACCACATCCAAAGAAAATTCAATAAAATTCAAAAAACTACATGCTTTATACTGTATCAATTATCTGTTAATTCAAGAGAAAACCAGCTACCTCAGGGATTCCCAAAAAGCACAATGAAAACCTCCATGGGAATCCTAAAGAACCTACAGTATTACTTTAAGACCATGGTTGTGGAGCAGATCCAGATTAAAGCTACCAGTCTCTCCAAAAAAATATCTGTAACCTCTAAAATCCATTTAATGGGTGATACCCTATTTCTCAACATATTTTTGGTAGAGGAAACAGCCCCTTTGAAAACACCATGAAAGCGGGGTGCCTGGGTGGCTCAGTCGTTAAGCGTCTGCCTTCGGCTCAGGTCATGATCCCAGGGTCCTGGGATCGAGCCCCGCATCGAGCCCCGCATCGGGCTCCCTGCTCGGCGGGAAGCCTGCTTCTCCCTCTCCCACTCCCCCTGCTTGTGTTCCCTCTCTCGCTGTGTCTCTCTCTGTCAAATAAATAAATAAAATCTTTAAAGAAAAAAAAAAGAAAACACCATGAAAGTAATAAGAATAAATCAATATTCATCTCTATTTCTTTATAATTTTGGCATTTCATCAGCATCCACATCCTTATTCTGAAAAAGATAGGGCTATCTCCCATCAAGGCAGTAAGAGCAGAAGATAGAGGATTATCTTACTGCCCCTGATGAATCCACCACCAGGCGCACCATATAGGGATGTTTCTTCCCCAGATAAAATTCCAAGGAACACATGTAAACACTATTCATTCCTTAGATCTTAATTTCTTTTTCTTTTAAAATGTTCAAGGTAGGGCGCCTGGGTGGCTCAGTCGCTTCAGCATCTGCCTTCCGCTCAGGTCATGATCCCAGGGTCCTGGGATGGAGCCCTGCATCAGGCTCCTTGCTCAGCAGGTAGTCGGCTTCTCCCTCTACCCTTCATCCCGCTCATGCTCCCTTTTTCAAATAAATAAGTAAAATCTTAAAAAAGAAGAAGAAGACGACTAAAATGTTCAATGTACTTTTCGGAACATTCCGTGATCCCTTACAATATTTCTCTTATGGAAAGTATGTTCTGATTTTAAATATGAGGTAAGAGAGAACCTCATAAAGTGCTAGGAAAATATGTTCAGGCATGGAATGACAGCTCATGGAATATATAGTAGTAAAGATCACAAAATTCTCAATTGCTCTTAGTTGCTAGAGTATCCTTATATTGTCAATAAAGTAAGAATTGCTATGGTATGAATTTGCAAAGGATATTTCATAACGTGAACTATAAAATAAATCTTGCTGTGAAAAAAAAAAAGTATCAGGATACCTCAAATATATTGCCCCAACTTAGCACTTAGCATATTACACTATTATGAATATGAAAACACAAGAGTAAAACCAACGAACACATGGAAATGATTTTGAAAAAGATTCAGATGCTCAGGCTTAAATCTATTTAACTCTACATGGAAAAAATTAAAAGTTAAAAAGTTTAGAAAATCAGGATTTGTTATCTTTTGATAATATCCATTATATGTTTTATGTGTATATCCACGTATATACACACAGCAAAAAGATCATTATTAAAGCTATAAAATAATACTTAATGAGTTAAGAATATTTTCTACAAATTGGTTACTAACATGTTAAAGACTTCTGTGGTTTCTGTGTTAAAAAAAAACTTTTTGTATTATTTACTAAAATAAAATTGTCTTCAGCTTACCAGTCTAAGAACTGCAGCTCATTTCAAATGTTTTTTTATAAGTAATGTGATAATTTATATTTATCTAAAACATAATAAGTTAAATACTGCTACTGGCTTCTTTTCTTCCCCTACCTCCCTTTCTCCCCTTTTTTAAGCTCCCTTGAATTAACCCAGAAATTTTAAAAAAACTTTTTTTTAATCTCTGTGGTATCTATATAGGGTTATTCGCTTTTCAACCCGCATTAAATTGAAAGGACACATCATTTTTCAAAATGATCTTCTTCATTTTACTGCTGTTCCAGGGGTGACCCATCCCTTTTCCTCCTTCCCAATTACTTTTTTCCAACCCAGTGAAGAGCTGTATTATAAGGACCTTAAACTGAACACAGGGGTCGCTGTTGAGTAGTGCAAAGCTTTTTTTTTTTTTTTTTCCTCCCCAGGGGCGGAGTATTTGCAGCTATACCTGCAAAGACTTCTATAAATTAAAAGGTAAATGTTCAACTTGTGTTTATATAATAGAAAACTGAACTCCAAAGCAACAATGGGCATCAGGTAAACGTATCCAATACAATTTACAGACAAAATTGAAAGGATTACAGCCTAATCAGACATCTAAAAGAAAAGGATGCTCAAATGAAATGTCTACAGAATCATTAGTTGGCAGCCATTCTATTACAATCACACATAATGTCAGTGGTGCCTTGAGCCTGTGCCAATGACAACAGCATAAATTTTGCATCTCATTTCTGTGGTCATAAAATTAATGATCAGTTTAAAAATACTTCTTTGTAAAAGTTATTGCGCAAAGAAAAGACATGAATGTGTCCCTGTTATGTACTCACAAGGATAATTATGGGGCTGTTGCTCATTAATACTGTTTCTTGTTTCCCTAGAAAACCATTTGATTTATCCCACAACTTTTAAAAGTTTAATTAATGATACAAAGTTAACAGTCTAAAAGACAATGATCCAAGACTTCCCTTCCTATAATTTCAGTGGCAACTTAAATATCATGGCAAAAATCAAAGCTGAGTCTTACCACAGCAGCATATTTCCCTGATAAACATTTTTAAGTTTATAATAGTTGAGTTCAAATCACTATTATCCCTTCCTCATTATATTGTTCATCATCAATTAACATTTTCCTGAATGCCTAGAGATGGAGCCCACCAGCAGCTGAATAGTCATGATCTCTACCACCGCAGAAGGTGATTGAACCAATTTACTGCTTGTTTTGTCAAACAAGTCCTACCTGAAACACAACTGGGTAAACGCTAAACTAAATAATATACCTAAAACTTAGGTGACAGTCATTCCCCCTTTACAGCATGAAAGGCAAACTTGAGGAGAAAAAGGACTTGAGTGAAAACAAATTAATTTCTAATTCTCTACTCCGTTCACTTGTCCAAATTAATGTCTCAAGTAATAACATACAACCAAATTGACAGCGTTAAGCATTTAACGTGTCATTTCTTAAGGGAATCTGTGGTTTCATTCTTAAGGCTTTGAAAGATTTAGGTCACCACAAGGAGATTCTGTTCATAACTCGTCTGCAATCGGAGAGCTTAATAGCAAGCGTATATGAGGCGGAGCTTTAACATAAGGATATCATTTCTCAAGCACTACCTCTGAAATATACTTCTACTACTGTAGGCCCCATCATTTCAGACATACGTAACACATTTGTACAAGGCCGGAGATGGGCGGGGGGCAGGGAGGGAGGTCAAGTTATTTGCTCAGCTTTCATTGGTGGAATAACTTCCAACCAAACATGCACTATATTTAAAAGGATAAAGGAAAGGAAATTAAACATCATCCAAACTTTTGACTTCTCTGTGTTCTTAAGGATTCCATCAGAGCAAACTAAAATGAATCCCTTCTTACCTAACCTTACCTTACCTAATACCTCTGGCTATTTAAAAAAAGCACGTTAGTCCATTAATAAACTTAATAACACAAATGAGGTCAAAGGAAATTGCTAAGTAAATCTATGCATATTTAACAATATCAATGAAGTCTTAAGGAGAAAATCGATTACATAATTTTTTTAATTAGAGGAAAAATATTTTACAGAAGAAAATGAGAGCTTTTTATTTTTTTTTTCAAGATTTTATTTATTTGAGAGAGAGAGAGCACAGAGGGAGAGGGAGAAGCAGACTCCCCGCTGAGCAGGTAGCCCGATGCAGGACTCGATCCCAGGACCCTGAGATCATGACCCGAGCCAAAGGCAGATGCTTAACCCAGGTGCCCCGAAAATGAGAGCTTTTTAGCCATGGCATCTAAAGGGAACTGAAAACAGTATATTCACATTTTTAAGCTACAGACACTAATATTTTGCAAATTTGAAAATATTCTCTTGAAATATTTGTCTGTTAATATGTCCTTCTTTCAGTAATTTATAATTTCCTCAAAAAGTATTTGAAAACTGAATTATAAATCAAGATTTACTTAAATCAAGATTTACTTAAATCCTCTTGATAAATGAAGTTGAATTTGAGAATACACATTAATATAATATTTATTGAATGTCAGTAGACATATGTGTCATGCATAGGTATCTTCACATTATCTTAATCATTCTATAAAGATATTAATCATATCTAAATTACACTGGAGTAAAAAAAAGACTAATATGAGGGCAAGATACAAGTAAAACTTTTTTATCATATACCTAATGTATATTAGAAAATTCTGTCTTATACTTAGTAACAGTCTTTACTCAATTAGTAATATATTTTCATTAGAAAAATAATTACTTTGGGGCACCTGGATGGCTCGGTTGGTTAAGCATCTGCCTTCGGCTCAGGTCATGATCCCAGGGTCCTGGGATTGAGCCCCACATCGGGCTCCCTGCTCAGCACGGAGCCTGCCTCTCCCTCTCTCCCCTGCTCGTGCTCTATCTGTCGCTATCTCTCTCTCTCTCTCTCAAATAAATAAAATATTAAAGAAAAAGAATTACTTCAGGTCACATTTAAGGGACTTATGACCATGTCATATGACAGGAACAAATTCTAAAATAATCCTAATTCTATTCTAAAATAATTCTAAAAACAGCATAATTTTAGTGCATGAAGCCTAATTCAGGAGTACACTCTATACTATTAGGCTATATTGCAACCAAGAAGAGGAAACTAGGGATAATTACTCCATCATGTACAATTTTTGAAGGATATAAGAAGGAGCTCTCTCTGGGGCACCTCGGTAGCTCAATCTGTTAAATGTCTGACTCTTAATTTTAGCTCAGGTCATGATCTCAAGGTCATGAGATCGAGTCCTAAGTTGCACTTCATGCTCAGCGTGGAGTCTGCCTGAGATTCTCTCTCTCCCTCTGTCCCACACCCAACCCCCAAATAAAATATTAAAAAAAAAAGATTCTGTCCCCCTCTCCCTCTACCCCCTCATGCAAGTGTGCGCTCTCTCTCACTCTCTCAAATAAATTAATTAATTAAATTTTTTTTTTAAAAAAAGGTGTGCTCTATTCTAGATAGAATAAGCAAAATTTCAAATAAGTAACAGGGACTAGACTAGGCAAGATGGGTTCTAGTTGCTTAGATTCAAATCTTTCTTATATATAAGTAAAACTGAGGAATTTAGAAAATCAACTGATAATTTGTTCTTTTTTTAATAAATTTTTTAAAGATTTTATTTATTTGAAAGAGAGAGAGAGAAAGTGAGAGAGAGAGCATGAGAGGGGGGAGGGTCAGAGGGAGAAGCAGACTCCCCGCTGAGTAGGGAGCCCGATGTGGGTCTCAATCCTGGGACTCCGGGATCATGACCTGAGCCGAAGGCAGTGCTTAACCGCCTGAGCCACCCACGTGCCCGCGGTAATTTTTTCGAAAGTCACAATTTATCAGACCTCAATGGAAAATCTAAACTTGAGTATAGAAGGAGATATAATCAAGAATCCTTAATAAATTAAAGAAATGAAAAGGGCAGTTTTCAGACAACAGCTGAAAATGAATATAAACAGCAAATAGAAAATTAACTTAATGAACAAGCTTCAATATCTAGGAGCCACTGTAATAAAATATTTCTACAAGTTCAAATTATTCTCGCCAAAAAAAAAAAAGGAAACACTTTTTAAAAATCCTCTAAGATCTATGCAGCTCGGTGTTTCAACAACAGTATCAATTCAACTAGTTTTAAGAATTGAAAAACATCAAACTATAAATTCTATATTGTTAAATCTCAGGATGAGGGGGTAGTACCTATAGTGTAAGGGGAGGGAAGAGATATGGAGGGAGTAAGGAAGGATGATAAACATCCATGTATATTAGACAAACTAATAATTCACTAATTAGAAATGAATAACTGAATTAATCCATTTTATTTAAGAATTGTTCACCTGGTCCTTTTCTCTTCCATTAATGATATTAAAATGGTATTTAACTGCCATTTTTTTAAATAATTTTTTATTGTTATGTTAATCACCATACATTACATCATTAGTTTTTGATGTAGTGTTCCATGATCCATTGTTTGTGCATAACACCCAGTGCTCCATTCAATACGTGCCCTCCTTAATACCCATCACCAGGCTAACCCATCCCCCCACCCCCCTCCCCTCTAGAACCCTCAGTCTGTTTTTCAGAGTCCATCGTCTCTAATGGTTCGTCTTTAACTGCCATTTTAAAAAGATAAAATAGGTGAAGTAGGAATATAAAAGTAAAAAGGAGGAAAACATCCTCTGTTTACTTCATTGTGACCCCATATTGACCTGAGAGAGAGTGAGAGAGGAGGGAGAAAAAGAGAGAAAGAGCAGGAAAACAGCCAAAAGGAATTCTGCCCAGGTCTGCTTGGATGAAGACAACCCAAAACCCCAAAGAGAAAATGTAAGAAGAAAAAGAAAAGCAGCACTATTCAAAACATACTTAGATGAATTTACTCAATGTAGAGGTCTGATACTTACTAATTTCCCATTTAAAAAAAAATATGTATCTTGAATAATCACTTTGTAACTATGAAGTCTGTACTAACTTTGCTACTCCTAACTACAGGAATAATTCTTTTTAGAACAAAGCTGAATATACTTTGAGGGTATAACAGCGTAAAATTACTCAGCTTCTCATATTTCTCCAAGGTATACATCTAATTTATCCATAGGCTTACTTTTAAGCAGGGACTCTTGGTGATTAGTTAACTCAATACTGGAGCATTGAACTACAAATGACTTGTTCAGAGAAAGATCGTGATGGGGAATCTCTGAATTCTGTGGTATTTGAACTCCTATTCCAGGCTCATTTTTCACTTTCTATCAAATACTACAAATTTCCATTCTCTTTAGAGACAAAGACTGTACCTCAGCAATATAATTTTAATATCTACATGTCTGAACAAGTCCTAAACCAAAATACCAAAGGCAAAGTTCCTACCCTATTATTGAATCATATACAATTATACAATGACTTCATTATCACACTTTCTTAGCTTACAATTTTTTAATGTACAAGTAATTAAGTCACAACAAGAGCTTGATAAATAATCACTGGAACAGAGTATGTCTTTTAAGACAGAACCTATAATCTAGTATTCCTCTATAAACAGAGCATTGTATAAAAGTTACAGTAAGAATGCACAAATTCATTATTTCCATATTCAACTAAGCAAAATGCAGTATGATTAAACCCACAGTTCAGGATTGGTTGTCAAGTACAAAGAAGTGGGTATTTGTGGGGAAGAAGAGTTTCCTGCTCTTCTCTTTATTTAATAGTGCTAAAAATTTCCATATGGAAAAAAAAATCTCATTCCCTCAAATCACAATGATCTTGATGATTTAATGCGAAAAGAAACTATTAAGTGAAGTGAAGTACTTGGTTTATTGAAACTGTCATTACTCTCTCACTTATCAGTTGGCAGAGATATGAATTACTCTGTGGAACTGCTAACCCCAGTTAGAAGATGCCATACTGTTTTTCCCCAAACCCAGATCCTAACTCCACATAGGTTAGCTGACCTTATGTTGTGACCCTCATACCAGCATCCACAGGCTTCAGGTCATGACCTTTGAATTAGCATCCTGGAAGTAAGGGCCATACCCAGTTTCCCTCACAGAACTAAAGACATGAAATAGTAGGAACTTCCTATGCCCTTCTCGATTTGGTTTTCCATACGCTAAACAACCATCCCCCAAATCTAAAGGAAGTCAATCAGGTTACCAGTACTCTCACATATTTTGAAAAAATTAAATTGAACTCCTCTGAAAATTTCTATAGCATACATTTATTCATATCAAAAGAATCACAGTAATAAAAACCAGCAACTGAGAGAGATTTCACTCATGTTTTCAAACAAAAATTGATACTGTTTTAAGACAATGACTCTTTAAAAACATTACCTATGAGCAGCCAGCCACAGGCCCTCCTGACCCCACCACAGCTATAAAATCATCTCGGCTGTGTTAAATGGTGTTAGTTTGGTATCTCGCCTCTGCTTTACCGAGTTATTCCATCTGTAGCTGCAAGCGTATACTTTTCTCAACAAAGTTCTGTCACAGCGTGAAAAAACATTAAAACACCTAACAATGTTAAACACACGAGATTTCTGCATCAGGAGACGGTGCCGAGTAGATTCGGGATATGCTTCTTAATTTTTTTCTCAGCAGGGGGAGCTAGCACTCTCATCTTGAAAGTCTAAGTATACAATCTGGAAATTTAAATTTTGATCCCAACTATCAAATTTCAGTATGTTTTACATTACCCTATTGAACATCTCTACAAGGATAAAAATTTCAAGGTGGACAAACTTGAGAATTTACCTTTGTCTTGGAAGTCCTGAAGATAGCTGGAAAATAAAGCAAGAATATTATATTTTAAGATGAGGGGTTGACAAATCAAAACAAGGTCTATTCATTGGCAATAATTCACACCTATTTTAAAATCTATATCATAAATACACATTTAGAGAAAAAAGTACTTCCTATCCTGAAATAACAACTCCAAAAGGCTTATGGATTTATAATAAAAGTATTTTTAAAGACCTAAGATACGGTAGTAGAATCAAAATCTTTAATATCCATGATATACATTTATTCATTTCCATATCTAGAGGTATTTATATTAATATTCTCAATCTACCTTTGTCCTATTATTTAAACCACATACATCCTCAAATAATCAAAATAAACAGATGGATTTTGCTAGAATGCTTAGAAAAAAAATATAATCAAGAACCTTCACAAAAAAGGATAATATGATAAGCGTGTCAGTTTTTAAAAACTATTATAGAGGACATATACTTTGTCCTTTAAAACATTTAACACCAATTAAATTAGGACATAAAAAAAGTAATTCTGTTATAATTCTTTATTAAAATGTCAACTACAAAGTTGCTTCTAAGTGAGAAATAATAAACAGCAAGTAAGTGACTTACATAGACTTTACATCTTTTATCTTCTTAATAAGGGATTCTCTCTTTTCCTTTGCTTTCTTGGATAAATTTTCCCCTCTCAGTGTGTCTGCCACAAATGTTTCAACATCTAAACCATGAAATATAAGAAACAGGATACAAATTATAGGAAAGAATCATTTTTTGTGAAGACAAATAGGACAATGATTGTTTCTACCCATAAGTGTTAATATCTGTACAATTTGTTACAGTTATTTATCAATCCAAAGCATAACAGTTGAAATATGTTTCAAATACTAAGTTGGACAAATCTGCACACCACTTAGCTAATAAAATTTGTATGCTCTACTTATGCTTAGCACAGCAAATGCTATTTGGATGTTTGGCATCATTAAACCAGAGAGAAGCTCACAAGTTTTAATAAACTATGGTGCCCCATAAAACAAATTCTCTCATATAAAAGCAAGCACAGAGCTTTTACGCATGTGTTACTATCATTTTATAGTATTTTGTAAGCTCCTGTATGAACGGGTCATTCACAGTATTATATCAATATAAGCTAATGTCTCTGGCAAGGTCCTGTTTTTCCCAGTGTAATCCATTTTCAGGTATGTGCAATATTTAATGTTTTAAAGGAAAAAATAAATCCCTTCTTCTAGCCAAGATTCCAAATCAAACCCTCCTCCTTCCTACCTGCCCCACCCATTCTACCAGCCACCTTCAAAAAGAAAGGATAATCTGCTGTGTGGTTCTGTGTGTTCTTGCTTTCTGCCTTGGTATTACCACCCGGAAATATTTCTTTAAATAAAGGAAGAAGTGGCAAAAATAGATTCATCCACTATTTTAAAATATAGTAACCAAGGAATAAGACTTTCATGGCTTCATATAGCATTTCCACAAGGCCTCTTTTTTTTAAAATTTAGTAAACTTGTAAATTATTCTGCTTTCTAATTCTCTCTAGTACAAAATTCCAACTCGTCCTTACTGGTTTGATTTTATAATAGCCCCATTCATATTGTTCATGAACCTTTGTGCAACTTTAAGTTAATTTTATATTCAGAAGTTCAAATCTTACTTTGAGATATCTAATATAAAGGATACCATAAAAAATTTTAAAGTTGGTATGACTGTAAACCATCCATATTTCATACTGAAGAGATGTATGTTTTACTTTCTTTTTATTTAACTACTTTGTCTCCTAACTCACACTGATAAAAAGACAGTATCAAAGCATACGATAATACTATATGTAATTAATTCAAAGCACTATAATAGTCTTTCAACTGTACTTATAATTAACCATTTAAAACCTAGTATTTGAGGTAAAACATTGTAATAGATTTTAAACTCTTGATTACAATAGTATCTTGATCCAATAAGCAAAGGTGATTAAACTGTTATCCCATACATTCATAATAAATGTATAAAGATAATTTTTCACTAAATCAATATGACAAATGAAAGAATTAAAATTTAATCTTGGAATAATTTTTTTAAATAGCTTTCTGGTTTGAAGTCCCTTAATGACTGTTACAAGCAAGTATCAAAACGAAATGAAAGCAAAATGCCACAGCTTCTTTTTACTCAAGCTGTCCATATTTTGAAGAGGAGGACATATAGACATAATCCATAACCAGTACAAATTAGACCCAGACTTCTAAAGTGAGTTCAAAATAATGAAACTTATTTAAAAACACACACACACAAAAGCACTCTCCCCTAAACTCTTTAAATTTTGTACCCAGAGAAACAAGCAACCTTTGGACATTCAGACATTAGCTGAAATGGAAAAGATCACTGGCTTCTGAGATGGTTACCATAAATCTACTAAAAAAAGTGGAATAAGGGAAGGAGTAGCATCTCTACTGCTAATTCTTTCTTTCAACCGGACTCAGTTCTTGGGAGAATCTCTGGTACAATGATTGGTGAATAGTCTGCTTAATGTTACTTTCACTCAGTGTTTGTCTTTAATTCCCTCATCCACAAGTATTTAATTGCCTATTTTACATTTTCATTACACAATCCAAATTTAAACAAACAGGATCTATTTTCTATCTCCGGAAGCAATAACAGAAGGAATTACAGCCCAAGAGTTATTTCTTTAAAAGGTCGTTTCAGTTCTATAAAAACTCAGAAAACATAAAAAGCTGCAATGCTCTATATAGGGTTTCCTAACACTCCCAAAAAATATTTTTAAAATTCTGACCCATGCTATTTTATGAGGAAATGCTTGTTGAAAGAGTGTGAGACTGCTGGAAGAATCGTGTTGTTTGTTTGTTGAGGGGGAGGAGATTCAGAGATCTGGCAAGAGAAAAAAATCTATAGTTTTAGAGTAGTCTTGATGTATTTATTCTTAAACTAATCCCAGAAAGGGGGTTTAAGACAACTAAAAAGATTTAATAAACGCTGATTTTTTTAATAAATTATTTCCTAGGAGACAAGAAAAGTGTAAGAACTGTTTTTGCTGTTTTCTTGTGTGTTTTCTCTTTTTTAACAAATAAGTTAGGAACTCTAAAGTGGAACTGATTCCTGAAATCTTAGTTTGTTGGTGCCCACAGATTTAGTCAGTTTTGAAGTTTTTGAAATCTGGGTTATTTCTTAAAATCCACACGGTGCCCACTTATTTTCGAACTGAACAGAAACGGCCTCTCCCAGGTACCGGACACCCTCTGGATGCGCGGGAGACCCTTCGGCCGCGTCCCTGCGCAAAGCACGGACCCTGCTCGCCCAGCGCAAAGACCCGGCGAGCGCTGAGAAGTTACTCCGGGCTTTCCTGGGGAGACGCTTAGGTTCTGCGGTCCTCGAACACTCGACACTTGGAGTGTTAAATCCCGGAGTTCCCGTCATAGGAGCTCTGACCAGGGAGCACGGGTTTGGGGCAGCGCCCTCACCAGACAAATGGGACTGGATCTGCGGCTTTGTAGCTCAGAGCCAGGGTAATATTTCAAAAGTGGGCAATAAAAGTCCTAGACGAATCAAGCGCTCCTCTGGCTGGTTGGAAAAGAGATTTGAAGCTTTTTATTGTGCTCTGAGTAGCCCTGCAAACGGTAAACTAGCGAGCGCGTTAGCCCCATTCTATCTTTCTTTAGGGGTTGTGTCCCTCGGTTAATATGTAGATTTCACTGACTCCAGACTGCCTGTAATTCGGGGAACAGCGGTAATTCGATTGCAAGAAAAGATCAGCCCGCTCCTCCCTAGCCTCTCGGCCTGGCGAGTGAGAATTCCTCTTCCTCAGAGGGAGTGGTCTCCACTCACGCACGCACGCATCGAAGCTTGGGGACCCGCTCCGCCCGCGCGGAGAAAGCACAGTTCCCGGGAGCCCCAACGCAGCAGGTCTAACCCCCAACACCACCTCGCTCGCAGCCACACAGACTGCGGGTCAGCGCCGCTGTCATTTAACCCCAGAATTAGCTCCATCTCCATCAGCCTCTGCCCCCGAGGCATCACCAAGGAAAAAAGTTATCCCAGAGACTGCAAATGTGGTGGTGAGTTTTGCTCCTTTTACACCTTAACACTGTCGAGAATAAACCTTCTCTCTCGGTACAACTGTAAAGATCTGCGGCAGAGGGCCCTGAGAAGATCAGACTTACAACTGCTCTGTAGATAACTGTTAAGGTCTGAAAACAAAATTAAAAGATGACATCATGTCTTGGCTCAGCAATCTCAAGCAGTTTAAGTTAGAAACCTCTCAAAAGCCATCACAACCCCTAAGAGGCAAACACAGCACACACCAAACCACCGAATGGTATTCCAATTTCCTCTTTTCTTCTTCTTCTGTAGGAATGGGCCCCCAGAAAAACTGCCCACCCCCTATACTTCCCCTGTAGTTCAAGTGACTAGGACAGGTATTTAATACACACACACACACACACACAGAGAGAGAGAGAGAGAGAAAGAGAGAGAGGTGCTAACTGCTTTCTACCACCTTCCATATGGATCACACAGTGAAAAACCTGAAACCACAAAAGGTTAGAACGGTTTTTAAATTCCTGCAAACGAAAAAATAAAATGCCACCCTTTCAAAGCTCAGTACACAGGTTCCCACTCTTGAAGAAAGCTGAGGTTTGGCCTCACCATCCTTCACCAGCCAGGAGCCTAGAAAATGACTTGGTGGGAGATTGTAAATAAGTCACAAAGGTCACACCTGATGTCTTCTGCCTCCTCTCCCAACCACCCAATACCACCCTGAGAAGGCTTGCCTACACACACACACACACACACACACACACACACACACACACACACACACACACAGCCTCTGTGATGGCCTAAATTGTATAGGAGAGGGGAAGAATTGGACTGAATCCACTACCATTTGCTCAGCTCCAGATCAATAACATAAGTGTAAAACCAATTACACTTCACCCCTAAATGGCTTTACTTACTTAATTCCACATCCTTCTCTACTTTATGAATTGGGCCAGGTTTTACTATGTATTCACTAAGGTACTATTACCAAACTTAATATGGTGAGAATCCCAGCCAAACTTTAAGACGACATCAGAAAAAAAATAATAAGCTTTTCTTCTCTGTTACAGGGGGTACAGTCTGATCAAACACCTACTGGTAAAAACATAAAAAACAATTAAACTGGGCACATGTAGATCAATGGAGCCAATGCCCAAAGTTGGAAAGTGGCTAAGTGAATAGTTATTGATTCTCTAATCAATGTCTTCCCTTGATTACTTAGCACTTTTATAGGTTATGGTTGAACTGTGGATTTTCCAAACATGGAAGAAGAGGAGCCAAGGAGTTCTCATAGTACAGTTAAGTAAAACATTCCTGAGTCTTACAATCCAATCATCTGACAAAATTTTCAAAATTGGCTTTGGAGGCTAAATGACTTATTTTGATAGAAAACTGGGCTGTTGAAGAATATAGATGAACATCTTTCACCTCTAAAAGATGACTCTTGATAAATAACACCTTATAATAATCAAAATCTTTTTACCACGCATTTTCAAAGAAGCCACAGTGAATAACACATTAGTCTGGGATTTACACTATATTCACTGTTAGGCAGCATCTATTGTAATGTGCTCAGTATGTGATTGAAAAAGAAATGTAAACTCAGTGGAATGAAAAAGATAGACTTGGCTTTAATTGAAAAAGACAAACTAAGTGAATAATGAGTATATAAAAACTAGCCTATGCCACTTTTATCACCCATATATGACACTTAATCTTAAATTTATGAGAGACAACTGAAGTGTGTTTCAAATCACCAGAGGCTTTTCCTACGCTGTTGTTTTTATCTTCCTTCTAGTAATACTTTAATGCTGATAATGTAGAGATAAACCCATTTGGAAATTTTTTTCTCATTTTTTAATATATTTAGATTCCTTTCTCTTTAAAGAAATCCAGTGATAACTTGGGTTGAGTAACTATAAAAACTGTACATATTATCAAGAGCCTTATTTAGTAATCTGAGACGAAAATACTTTCAATGGAAAGTGATGTTGGAAAACAAACCAAAGATCCCCTCCCAAGAAAAAGTAGGATATTATACGCTTAATATAGGCAAATAATTTTCTTAACATCACATCTTAATTCATCTATGTTATTCAACCCGTAACAAGAAATTATAAATTTTTGATCCTTTGACTTACAAACACATATTCCTGTTTCTAGAAGAGAAAACCTTAGAAGCATCATAGACTGATTTCATTTTGAGTTCAAATGTAACTTTATGCTCATAGCAACTTTATGCTCATTAGTCATTACTGCCAAAATGGGGCAGGCTTGTTCTTGCTCTGTAGGAAAATCCAGGTGCTAAAGAAGTAGGTGACTACTGGTGACTCAGTAGGTGGCACTCTTCCCTTTACATACTCAGCCAATGCCCCAGAAGCAAATTATGGGACCCTAGATGTACCATAAATAATTCTCATAGGAAAAATAAACCCAAAATGTTGACCAAATTATAAATGGAACTTAGGAAAGGTGGAAATCAAACCATACTATTCTTAGCATTGAAAAAATTCTCCCTCTATTTCAACTGAATTGCATCCTTTACCTTGTGCCCCTAAAGGGATTATCAATTTTAATGTGTGAAGTTTAAAAAAAAAAAAAAATGTTCTTGAAATCCCCAGTAGGGAAAAATGCAATATTTCTAATCAAGACTGCCCTGTGAAAAAAAACCTCAAAGTCACTTTGCAGAAACCATATAGCCACTTTGTTTATTGTTGGTTTGGTTTGGTTTGGTTTTGATTTTTCAGAGTACTGACAACCACTATTTTCTCCTGTTAGCGTTGGTTTCATTTTCTAACTTAATAAAAAGAAACTTACATCCTCTTAGAGCTTTTCTCTTCAAACATGTTGTCCTAAAACAAATTAATGAGAATGAATGAGAATATCTGATTGCAAACTACCAACATCCAGTATTCAAAGGATGATTAAACAAATGAAGGGGGTTGAGAGCCCGTAGTTCTAGTTCCTCTCACTTTCTCGCCTGCCCGGAGAAAAAACTCACATAAATCAAGATTATTCTTGCTGTTAGTCCTAGTCAAAATATTTGGATGTAGGAAAAGATTAAATGGACAAGATTCAGAATTATCCATTGATTCCAATTATCCAGGCTAAACTTGTTCTTCCATTGTTGTGAAAAAAAAAAAATGAAAGGTTGCCTGTAGTGCATAGGCAGTTCAAAATTTGCTTTTAACAAAAATCTATAACCTTTTTTCTATTCATGTAACAGAAGAAAAATACAACACTTTTGTAAGAAGTATAGGCTTTCAAGATTTAATATACTGATCCCAGAGAAATATGTATCACTGACAGTCAAAACTATAAGCCCCTTTTACAAGAGTATCATTAAATGTAGTTAAGAATGATAGCATCTATGGGTTTTTGCATTTCTAGAGAATGTTTTAGAGGGGAAGGAATGAGAAGAGAGAGGAACAAATATTGAAGGGAAGCCTAAAACTGCTATAATCAGAAAGAAAAATAAAGAGAAAGAAAATAATATAAACTGATAAGAATACATTGAGCACCTATCTCTATCAAGCAGTCGAAATGTCAAACATTTAACACACATGACATACAATGATTTGGATAATAGGCACATGGAACACAAAGGGAACTGTCTGAGCAATGTTATTTTGATAGGCATTATCTTTTGACTTTATATCCTTTTTTTCTGTAGGCAAGGATTTTAAGTGCCTGAAAAGTTTAGGTCCTTATCTTCTCTACATGGGAATTCTAGCATGGTGTCAAACATTCTCAGAGGGCTCAACTGTTAACTACAACCACCACTACTACTACCTCCTCTTAGTTTCAGAAAGTACTAGGTAATCCAGCATTCAAACCAATGCTCTCCCTCTATATTTTAGTAATTTTAAATCTAACCATGTACTATTACCCAACACACTTGAATTATGCAAATAATCATGCACAATCCCAACAGAATTTTTTGGATGCAAAATGTGAAAAAGCTGCTGAGAACCTTTATTCTCGAAACCTTTCCAGAAAGATTTTAATTACAGTCAAACACAAAATGTTAACATCTTTCTTTGAATGATAAGTTAAAAAAGAAAACTGAAAAACACTAGTTGTCTTGTTTCATTTCTTTAAAAAGTATAGATAGATAATCCCTCAAATCCATACCTCTTGAAAATGTCCTCTGAAAATAAAGTGTAAGCCAAATTTTAATATTAATTTTAATTTTTTAATTTTCGTATTTTTGATTTTCATATTTTCATATTTGTTTTTAATACTTCATGTGTTTTGACATGTGATTTGTTTAATAATATGAAATATTGAAAACATCAGTAAGATGACTTTTAAAACACTCATTTCAGACATTATGCAGGCATATTAACTGACTAAAGAGAGAGAAATGGCTAAATAGGAAGTTAGCATTGGTAGATAATTTAAATATTATGTAATTCTAAGCTTTCAACAAATTATACACATAAGGGCCAAATGAAATATTTGTAATCTATGGGAATCAGAGAATAATGAGTCTCATAACCTATACGTCATACTATCTGCAAAAGTATGATTATGGACCCAAACAGCAAACTGCCTCCTGTTGGAGCTCTCAAGCTTTAAAGGTGTGCACCCAAAGGTCTGAACTTTATTTCTTAAAGTCAAAAATTCAGAATTAGAATATCCTGAAAGTGGTGCCATCTACTTCTGGAGTAATGATAAACACTTCTCTGGTCTGGTTATTAAAATAGTATTCTAAACACGCAATTCCAGCATTGTAACAATGAAAATGTTAACTGTAGTAAAACAAAATCAGTACTAATGAGAAACTCTCATATAATGGAATAAAAGCTGCCTTAAATCAGTCTTTACAGTTCCTTATATTTCTCTTAGTGGTACCCATTAATGACAATAAGCATTCTTAGAGTAAAATACTATCCCACCACAAATGCATTTATCACACTGTAATCGTGTTCAGACAAACTTAAGTCTGCATCCATTCGCTCTTGGTTTCATTCTCTTGATCATATTCATGATGCTAACCAGCAAAACAGCATATTAGGAGATTTGGTCTCATAAGCAACTTACTATTTAAAATGTCACATTTTAGATACTAATTTTTGAGTTAAAATAAGCAACTTGTAATAGACATCTAAAAGAAACTCTTTTAATCCAGCTATTCATGACCACTACTTAAAGGTAAATACTTGAGACAACTAAAGTAAAACAATCAAAATTCAGTTTCTAGAATTCTGATGTACCTATGACAAAGTGAATGATAGTAAGAATTCCAGAGCATCAGGATAGGTAAGATTTGCGCTACCCTAAAAGGACGTGTTTTCTACTTCGTGCAGAAATATACATCTCCATATCTAGTAATGAACTAGTAGTGGATTCGTAATATCCTTGAAAAACCGCATCTTTAACTCCTAACGTAAGTTCCTATAAATGGTCATTTAAAACTGAAAAGGGGAAGATGAGGGTGCAAAGATGAAGCACTTTCATCGTGTGACACAGGAAGTTGGACCTTAACACATACTTCCTTTTTTGTTTTCATATGTTACTCAGGCCAAGACAAGTGGCCATTTGAGAATCAGGCCCTCTTTGAAAGTCTTAAATATGAGCGCAATGAATGTTTAAGAAAAAAAGAGAGTTTTAGAAATGACAATACCTTGCGTCCCACAACCTCTAACACCTGTAGCTCTGACATCTTTTTGCATCTTTACACCCTTCTCCTCCATTGGCCAGGCCACCGAAGAACTACTTCTTTGACTTCTGATCCCTTCTCAGTTCTCACACACGCATTCATTATCATTTCCTCTCTCCCTCCCTCTCTCTTCTCTCTTTCTCACACATACACGCACATGACGTCCTCACGATGCATACAGAAATGTCCTGATCCCATTAGTGTAGTCCATCAAGGAGGGCTTCCCCACCATCCTCGAACCCAATTTCAACACACGCCCACTCCCTTTCTCAGACCCCTCTTCCCCATTCCCAGTCCTGCTCCCACTGGCCAGGAGACAGGGAAGCGTGGGGAGGGAGGGCAGAGTCGCTGAATGCTTCTGTCCCCACCGGCTCGCCGTCCCCTCGCCCCCGCCCCCGCCCCAGCAGCGTCACCCGCCCCCTTCCCCAGATTTTTACCTGCCAACAGGTTCCTAATTTCCTCAGGGAGGGGGTAGGGAGAGGAGGTGCTGCTGGGGTTGGGCATGTTAGGAAGCGCGGGGCGTGCGGGAAAAAGACCTGTGCTGAAAGGGGGACCGACGGGCTGAGGTTGCGGCTGCGATCTAGACTCAGGCTAGCGGTCCCGGTCAGGACAGCGGTGCTACGAGTCCGGACACTGCCGGGCCGGGGCTCACAACAAGGAAGTCACTGAAGCCCCAGCTAGCAGCTGCTGGACTCTCTGCCCAGCCCCGCCCGGCAGATGGGGGCGGGGCGATGGGCTGGGAGAAGACCCGAAGCGCCTGGGGGGCTCAACTGCGCATGTGTATCCTATGGTTTTCCTAGCCTCGGAAAAGAGCCTCGGCACAGACCACACCCACCCCTACGTCAGGGAGCGGGAGGAGCGGCTGGTGGGAAGGGAGCCGACTGGGGCTGCGTCACCTGATCTGGAGTCTGAAGCGCCTTGCAGCCATTTTAGTTACTGGTGCGTCCACAGTTGCTGACCGTTTCGCCAGGATCCCGAAAAAATAAGGTATCCATAGTGCCCTTAAGTTTTCCGCTTAAGGGACCTCTAGCCAAAGGTTAGCCCCGCCGAGGTTTAACGCCTCGCGTGGTAACCCGCAAGGACTTTTCGGCCGCCCTAAACTAGTATGGCCTTCTTTGTCCGATTGAATGAGGTAACCAAGTCCCATCTTCCGCCAGTCTTCCCTGAGAAGCCAGTCTGGAGCTGCTCCAGAGAGCTATCTGATTGGCTCTTAAATTACTTTTCTACCTAATTCTTATTGTTGGGCGACTTCCCCCACTACGAACGAGGAGTGAGAAGTTCTAGTCACTATCCTTTTGCGTTAAAAAAGAAAAAAACAGTTAAATAGGCATAGATATTACCGTCCCATCTATAAGCATCAAAAAGAAAATTGCTGGTGATTAGTAGAATGGAATTATAAAATGTGTTCACTACAACCTGATCGACAAATATTTATTGCATGTCTTCTATCTGTAAATCTTACAGATTTCCTGTAAAACCCAAAAGACACGTCCTGGTGCCTTTAAAGTGTGTTTGTGTGTGTGTGTGTGTGCATGCTATATACTGTATATGTGTGTGTGTAATTATATATATGTGTGTGTGTGTGTGTGTGTGTATATATATATGTTCTGAATGTGTGTGTATTCGCCCCACCTCATATGGGAACTGCTGCCCTGATAAAGCCCTTTCCTCATGCTACTATTGTATTTTGAAGATTGTATTGTGGTATGTGGTGTGTAAATTGTTTATTCCTCTGCCCTCCGACCCTCACTGGATCAATAGTCCTTAAACTTCAGTTTGCATTAGAATGACCCAGAGAATTTATTAACAATGCAGATTCTCAAGTTTCACTCCCAGAGATTCTAATTCTGTCTGTGTAGGGTGGGACCTGATTATTTCCATTTTAAATAAGCCCTCAGGTAGTTCTGATTCTAGACATCCTAAAATTTGATTTGATCACTTTACCACTTTACAGCTCCTATAGGGCACAAAATTTGTCATAACTTATCTTTCATCCCCACCTGGAGCCCTAAATTTGACATAAAGTAATGGCTCTATTAATATTTCATACAAAAAAGTCTCAGACAGTAATAGTAAAAAATTAACTGGTCAGATGCAATGACATTTTTGTATAATTCTGTAAGAGATAAACAACAAACGCTAATTGGAAAAGGAAAAATTAGAACACGTTGAAGTCCTCTCAAAACAAAAAGTAGGGGCTCCTGGCTGGCTCAGTCAGAAGAACATGTGACTTTTGATCTGGGGGTTGTGAGCCCCATATTGGGTGTAGAGATTACTAAAATAAACTTTTAAAAAACGCAAAAACAAGACAAAAACTTTATAATAGAAGTAAGACACAAAATAACTACAAAGAAGACCCCCAGAAAACAAACCCATTCCCTAAAATGGAATCTGAAATTCCTACTCAGATTTAGAAATATGATGAATTATAGAAAGAGTGCTGGAAATTAGATTTATTTTTGGTGGAGGTAAAAGTAAATGAAGAGTCATTTTACAACATAGGTCCTCCAACTTCTAAGAGAATTATTATTCTTAAACTATAAAATTATCTTCCTCCTTAAAGAAGAAACTATTTCATGGACATTTTATGTTAGTGAGGATTCTACCTTCCTTTAGAGTTATCACATATAATTCTGTCTCTTGTCACATTTTTTATTAAACCAGGCCTCCAAATGTTCCTATCCTTTGTTTCCTTCTGATAGAACTGACCACATTTTTTTCTTTATTCTTGTGTCTCATTTATTTATTTATACTCCACTCATTCCACAAAGGAATTGAAGTGATTTACTCTTGTATCATATAGACAGTTTTCTGGAGTGGATCAAATGGACAGTGTCTACACTGCTCATTATGACAAGTCATTCTTGTTAGTGAGAGACAGAAAACTATTAAGATTGCCTTAAAATATATAGCATCTAGTCCAAATAAAAAAGGCAGTAACAGAAAATGGGCTTTTTGTATGAAACACATTTCCTCTACTTAGGAAGCCATTCTCAGACACAGGTTTGTGATGGATTCACTTGGGCAATGCTTTGTATACTCTATCATTTTTACTGTTTATTGTTAAAGTTACTGAAATTGATTATAAGACAGAAAGAGAAATAAAGAGAGGCTAAAAGAAATATATTCTTATTTCTCTTGTTTCCAAATGTTTCCATAACAAAAACTAGGAAGGAAATCAAATCATACTTTTCATTCTTTAAACTACTCACATTAGGTAAGAAAGAATAATAAACGAAATTTTGAATCTCAACCTGTAGAGGAGTAATAGCCTCCCTGCCATTCCACAAAGAAGAGACTAGACTCCGGGAAAAATCTCATGATTTGTCTTCTCAAAAGGAGATCCTTCAATTCAAAGAAGATGTATATAGAGATACATCGAGAGATATATAGGTATATATCCCTGGAACTAAAGCTAACCCGCTTCCTTACGTTTTTCAAATTTAGTTTAGCTGAGTAAGTATTTGCCCACAGGCCTAGGGTTAAAAGAATTTAAATGAGCATTGAAGAAGAACAATGAGCTAAAACACAATTTACTTTTTTTTCTCTGCACCTCTTATCTTCCTTTAGTTTGGCATTCTTAGTCATGTGAAAGAAAGATTATATTTTATACTTAGGCATTGTATAGTTATTTGTTTCCATATAACAAAACTTAGCTTTAAACACTAGCATCTCCCATAGTTTCTGATGGTCAGGAATCCATGAGCAGTTTAGCTGAATGGCCCCTTCTCAGTCTGTCACAAGGTTACAGTCAGGCTGTAGGCTGGGTTGCGATCATCTGAAGACTTGACCATAGCTAAAGGATTAGCTTTGAAGAAAATTCAACCACAGGACTGTTGGCTGCAGTCCTCCATTCCTCTTCGGCTGTTGGCAAAAGACTCACTTCCTCACTACATAGACTTCTCCACAGGGCTGCTCAAATGTCCCTTTGACATGGCACCTAGCTTCCCCTGGAGCAAGTGATCCAAGAGATAGCCCAACCAAGACAGAAGCTGCAGTGTCTTAATCTCAGATGTGGCATCACTTTGCTGCTGCCATATTGTATTGGTCCCACAGACCAAGCCTGGTATGTAGAGGGAAGGGACTACACAAGGCTGGAGCTTGAAGTTCACAAGGCAGGGAGTTAGGAAGGGAAGATAGAGGAGATTCATGACAAGCTGGAATGCAGAAGCACAAGCCATGTTCATGAGGACCGTCTGAAACCACAGCTAGCTTTTGCTGCCTCTCATCCTGGTGGTATGGATGCCCTGCCGAAGTCAGGGTCCTTGCTTACAGAGTTAACACACACTTGCCCCAGCAGTCAGAACTGAAAGGAGGATCCAACAGAAGACAGAGCAGTTTGTCCTATCTGGCTTTTTGGCCTGGTAGCTGCTGCAGGCCAATGAGGTGAACCAGCAGACAAGTGACAACATACGGGAGCCACAAAGTGACTCCTGTGTCACGTGTGTAAATCTCACACAAGAATCTCTTTTGTGACTAATGATGTTCTATATGCTGGCTACCCGACAATAATAAAAAAATAAACAAAAATTAAAACAAACTAATTAATAAGAATCTCTTTTGTGGCCCACGCCAGCCAGAAACAGACATAAAAGGGAATTCCAGGAAAAGTAGGTTGACAGATTGCAAAGCCACCAACCACACACTTGTACTATTATATGTAAAGAGTGGATTAGACAAAAGAAGCAATTGAAATCTTGCATTTGTTTTGCAGCCTAATACATTTTTAAAACTTTTTATTTATTTATTTATTTGACAGAGAGAGAGGGAGCACAAGCAGAGGGAATGGAATAGGGAGAAGCAGGCTCCCCACTGAGCAGGGAGCCCTATGTGGGACTCGATCCCAGGACCCCGGGATCATGACCTGAGCCTAAGGCAGTCGCCTAACCAACTGAGCCACCCAGGTGCCTCTACCTTTTTTAAAACTTTTTAAAGCCATTGTGTCTTTCAAGTCATCTAGTAAGGGCTCTTTTAAGAATTTTCAGAAATGAAACTTTGCTTTTATTTTCTAAATTCTTATTCCTCTCTTCATTTGAATCATCTAGGGCTGGTAGGTATGAGTTTATCATTGTGTGGTGCCAGCAAGAAAAAATTATATTCTCACTGGAATTAGCCTTAAAAGATATGACACAGAAGCCCACCAAAACCAACAGGTTCTAATAGATGCAGCTCACTAACTTGTCTTTTCAGTTTTTAGGTCGTAATTATTATTAATCATGTTAGTATCATTTATTAACAAGATAAGGAAACACATTCATTCTCCTTTGCTCTCCATCTCATTTGCATATACACAAACATGTGCTCAGGCACTTTGCTGCCCTGACCAATCATTTTAATATGAGAATAATAAGCAACTTAATATAGACCAGATTTGAGTTCTTAACAAGATGTTGTATGTCTTTAGGATTCCACAAATTAGGAATAAAGTAAGAGAATGTCCATTCCATTCCAGACTTGTTAGGGGCTGCCTGGTTCTCTCCCCAGGTAACATCCCTCTTCTCCCTTTAAGTGAAGTTAATTTCCCCTGTCTAGAATCTCAGTGCTAGAGATCTCACCATTGTAACGTCAGCTCTGATGGTAATCTGGCTCTGGCCTTATATCCTAGTTCTAGTAACTAAGTTTCTCCTGCCTGGGTTCTGAAACCAAGTCTTTTACTTTGCCTACTTT